GGTTAACTTCCCTACACTAATTCTTCCATTTTCAGCTGAAAGACAGCATATATTAACATATTGTAGACACAGTTTCCATATGGTTTCTTTTTCTGGCTTTTCTTTAAAGGGATGATACAGCAGAATCTTTGCAAGTGACATCAAAATCATGATACCGCCACCACCACCACCACCTAATGCCCCACCTCCCCCTCCTCCTCCACCCCCTGCCCTCTTCTCTGGTGCAGGCCCGTTTACCAGAGGCCCAATGCGGGCCTCTAGAATGCGTAATTTCAATTGGGAGGCCATACCTAAGGACACTGTGCTTGGCAAACACAACATATGGACGGCTGAGAAGAACAGTGAGTTTGAGTTGGACACCAAACGTATGGAGGAGTTATTCAGCCGCAATGATCAGAAGCAGGTCCAGGCCACAAACCGCTGCAGTGTACGCCAGTCCCCGAGCAATGCCTCAGGACCCGAAATGGTGAGTTCAGGTAGAATGTGCCAGAAAAGTTGTTCTGTACCTGCAGGCTTACAGTAAGTGGGTGTTTCCAGACTCATTTCATCAGAGAGATTTGCATATGCTTACATCAAGCTTGTCTCTAGGGTAGGGTCAGTGACTGTCCCAGGCAGTCTGTAATAGAGATGACTTTTGGTTAGTTGTAACCTCACTTAATTTCTGTTTATTTTGGACTTTATAATTGTCACTGTAGTAATGATTTCAGAGCTGAAGGTGATTCAAGCTTCATATATTTTCATGCTGCACGCAGGAGGTGTCATAATTGCTAATTTTGCATAAACCGTTTCTTTATGGTCATTTATCTTTCACATAGTGTACTGCAGATTATTACTAAAGCTACTTCTACATGATCAAACCCTTTAGTTTTTTTGTGTAAACCAATGGATTTAGTTTCAATGTTTCAATGATGTTAAATTATCTTTTTGACTTAAATAAAATCTATCAAATTATTTTTTAATTGTTTTACCTAAAATAATCTTTTGACATTAATAAATGCTATTAATTTATTTTAACATTAAATGTTTTTTAAATAAATAAATAAATAATAAATTAATTATAATAAAATTGCATGTTATCACTTTTTATAGTGTAAATTATGCATGCTATTGTGGATCAATTACTATTTTTGTCATAATCTCTCTCTTCTTTGGTAAGTTTAGTATATTGCATAATAATTTCATCAAAAGGTGGCTAGGTTATGACATTTTGTCAGAGAACATCTATTTATAAACTGGCTTTACTTCTGCTAAAGTCACATGATACAGAACTAATTGGTAACTACTGCTAAAATCGGGTAGATAAAGAAAATGAGAAGTTTACTAAAAGGAAATTTAAATAACAGGACTGCCGTGTTTTCCAGAAAAATCCCATGTGATTGTTTCTCAGCATGTTGCTTGGAACGATTTTACATATTTTAGTGTCGTAATCATGATTTGTCATGCTGTGGCCCACAGCCAGAAAAAAAAACCATCCTAGTTACTAGATTTGATGTAACTTTCTCTTGCAAATAATGCTTAGAGTCATTCAAAAGACAATGATGTGGCATTTATAGACGCCACTCGACTATGTTTGTCCTATGATCTGAACGCTCTTTAAAGGTGGAGTGATTTCTTCTTTTCTGTAAGTGTTTACATAAGGTGGACTCCACCGATATTGAATAGCTTTCAGTTCAAAAACACTGTGATGAAGAACATCTAATTTTACAACCATTGAATCACATTATCACAACGTTCCGGTGATTATTCTTAATGCAAGAAATTAATAGGCAGGGTTGTTGGTATTCATAAATCATCATTAGTTTTTCATAGTTCATAAATGATGAAAAACATTAGGGTGGAGTAAATACTTAGTACAATCTGTTTACATTTATGTTAATGATGTAATATACATAAAAGAAACAATTGGTCTGAAAGCTGTCTTTGTCATCCATTATTCATACAGTATAATGGATTTTGTTCCTTTGCCAGGTGACCATCCTCAACTCCAAGAAGAACATGAATACTGGTATCTTCCTCAAGCAGTTCAAAAGGTGAGTGTATCATGAAGGTGTATTAAGAAAAGCTCTCCATTTCATCAGCAGATCCTAGGGTGGAAACGCGCAGTAGTCATACGATAGATTGCTCACATGTCTCTGCAAGCCAAATTAATTTTTTTCTGACAACATCAGGCAGTCCATATCTTTTCTACCAGAGTAAGAGTGAAGATAAGATGGGGTTTGCATTATTTACATCATCAGCGGTTCCCTTAATCATACAGTGTTTCTTCGCAGATATTGATTAGTTGATTGTGACAGTTTAACTTTAATTAATACATCAGCTTTTAGTGCTAGAGCTTGTGATACCAGTTTGGTGTGCTTGTGTGTATCTCTAAAAAAGCAAGACTGGGCTTGTCTAGTCCCGGTATATTTTATGGTTGGCCAGGAAACGGAGATTAAGTGTATGTAGCAGTCAGAACAAGGTGAAGTATGAATCACAGTGTGGAAGTCCATATGTCGCCCACTTCCTCTATACTGTTCTTACGGATGTGCCACTTGTTTTGGAGAACAATGCTGAATTTAGAATTGAGTTTTACAATGTTATCAGTCTACTTAAAGATGAAGTGTGTCTGTTCCACTAGGGGTGAAAGTATTGATTGATTTCATACAAGTTTCTCAGATATTCCCTGCAGCTGCCGTTGGATGGACAAACAGGTAGTTCCGCCCCCAAACTCACGTCATTGGTTGAGTCACTGTTGCTGTGTTGGGCCGCTCAAACAAACAGAGCAATGTTGACATGCCACAGAATAGCAGTGTTGACACTACTGGAAAATTAACCTACAAATATCTTAGTTGTCACTGCATGTAAAACTGGGATAGGAGAGAGTATTTTAAGTTAGAAAAATTAAACAATTAAAATAAATTATATTAAATTAAATAAAAAAGTTTATATGATGCATATAAAATTATTTTATATTAAAATGTCAATAGTGTTTTTATTTTGTATTTTAAAACAGTATGATAATGTTTTATGCAGCTATTTCATTTGAATTACAAGCCTATAGAAAAAAAAATGTATGATGCATATTAAACGTTTATTTTATTTTATTTTATTCTATTTTATTTTATTTTTGCATAATGCATCTGCCTTCATAAGGAAGACTGGGGTTTAGTGATATTAGCAGAGATCCAATTCCATTCAATCTCTGAACAATCTGAGATTTTGTAACTCTTGAAATAGTCTGTGGAGGCCCTGATCTGTAATTCTACCACATCTTTCTCCACAGGTCAGTGAGTGGAATGATTGATGACGTTATCAACGGCAGAGGAGAAAGATTTGGTACTGGGAAACTGAAGGAGTTGTGCAAACTACTGCCAGAGGATGGAGAGGTGGGTGTAATATATGGATCAGGGCTTTAGTTACACTTGTTGAGCAATTCCAAGGCTTTGATAGTGTGCCAATGGCATTTGAATATGCGTTTGTGTATTGTGTAATATGAATTGCAAACTGAACTTTCATTTGATTTGAACTGAAAGCTTACTGTAATGTATTGCATTTGCTTCATTTCATTAGGTGCGTCAGCTTCTTGATTTTAAAGGAGACTGTTCAACTCTCTCTGAGGCAGATCGGTTCATGGTACAACTTGTCAAAGTTCCTTGGTGGGTGTATACAGCCACAGAAAGACAAATACACTTACACAACTGTACACAGAGCACCTTCAATACTAAGCAATTTGCACAGTACAGCTCATGTTTTATCTCTGTGGCCAGGTATTGATTATCAATACAAGACAGTGGATTTGTAGGTCACTGCAAATTACTCTAAATGTGAGTGAACTTTAGATATACCATCATGATTATATTTCTTTGTTTGTTCTTCCTCTAGCTATGAGGAACGGTTGAACAGTTTAGTACTCAAAGAGGAATTCCCCCATTTTATGGATGAAGTGAATCACTCTATTGCAGTTATGACCTCTGCTGGACAAGGTATGATTGACATACGTTTGAAGCCGTCTGCTATTACCTATAAGTCAACATGCCCTCTTCCCTTTTTTTGAAGCAGGGAAGTCACACCTTGTTTCTAGTTTTCAGTAATTGCTTATTATTAATATATATATATTTATAATTTAGAATTATTATATGTATCTGTTTATCTGTCTGTCTGTCTGCATATATATATATATATATATACTTTAAATATAATAATAAATTGTACTGACATTTCCTATGAAATTTGAAGTTTACTTTTTACTTTCATACTGAATCTTCATCCTATTTATGTAATTCGCTAAGAGCATGACTAAGTTTGATTCCCAGGAAACATAAAAAAGTACAAAAACATGCTAATACTGTAGTACTTTGTTTATTAGTATTTGTGATTTATTTGATTTCACCGAACCCATGTATGAAATTATTTCCAGAGCTGCTGGAATGTGCTGATCTACATTCAGTCATTCGTCTGGTCTTGAAGACAGGGAACTACATGAACTCTGTGAGTATGTTCATGCCACTGTATCTAGTGACGCTTGTTAACAATGATTAAAGTCGCTCAACCTCAAAACAGCATAATGCACTGCACATGTGAGTGTGTTTACATTGTCTTGAGATCCTAATCGTTCTTTCCTCACGTCCACCAGGGAGGTTACGCTGGCAGCGCGGTGGGATTCCGGATAATGTCGCTTCTCAAACTAGCAGATACCAAAGCCAACAAGCCTGGAATGAACCTCATGCACTATGTTGCGATGGTAGCTATGATGTTTAATATTATACTGTGATGCTAGAGCCACATAAGAAATAACCAGTTAATAACTTTAAGAAGAATCGCTTTATGTATCCCCCAATTGTAAGTCGCTTTGGATAAAAGCGTCTGCTAAATGACTAAATGTAAATGTAAATGTAAACACAGCTTTATTTCCATTTTAATTATTTTCTCATGTGTCTGTTACCACAGCAAGCCCAGAAGATTGATGCATCACTGCTGAAGTTCCCAGAGCAGCTACAGCACATTGGAGATGCAGCAAGGTAGGCCACACATTGCTGTTTGAAAAAATATTGCACTTTTCTATAATTAATTTATTTTATGTTTTAAATTAATTGTAGCTGATTATAAAAACACACACATTACAAAAATCTGTTGATAAAGCTTTAACAATAAAACCAGTGTTATTTTAGTATGCTTTATATACAATTATGGTATTTATAATAATTTGAATAGCTTTTATTTGTAGCTTTTAATTTAAGTTTTAGTCATTTTGTTACAGTATGTTCTTTTGTCATTTTTATTAGTTTTTGTTATTTTTAAAAATATTTCTCTTAAGCTTTAAAGTAAAATATTAATTATATATCAGTTTTAGTTGTAGAAATTTTAGTGCTTGCACTTCAATCTTTCACTTTCACAACATTTCAAATTTTTTTAAGTTTAAGTTTTTCATCTAATATTCATATATATTTTTCCAACTTTATAAAAAAACCTTTTATATTTGTAGTTAACAATACTGATTTTAACAATAAAATGTATTATATGAAATTCTAGGTACTGTAACTTATATGAAATTCTAGTACTCAGTAATTTCCTCTTGTATCTTGGGAGACAAGCAACATTATCAATTCGATGTATTGAAGATAGAATCTCAATCTTGCTTTAGCAAAAGTCTTTCAATTGATCTGTTAAGCTCGACTTATTGTGCTCAATAGTAAATTGCACTGAAAATGCAAAAAAGAGTGAATTATTTTCTTTGTCTTTCGCAATACAGGATCCATAAGCAGGAAATCGAGTCTGATTTCCAAAAGGAAGTGAATAGAGTCCAGGTGGCGAAGCAGAATGCTAGTAAACAGCCAGATCTGGAAGAACAGATGAGGGATTTTCTGCAGGTGAGGCATTTTATATGCGTCACAAGCATGGCCGGATTTACCATTGGGCTTGAGTGGGCTGCAGCCCATGGGCTTTACAACACGCATTACATTACGTATTTCATGGCACACTCGTTTTATGCGTATTTGGCGCCACCTATTGTTGTGGGTGTATTATTGACATGTCAAAGTCTAGAGCCTGAATATAAGACGACCGCGTTTTTTCAGATGTATTTCCAAGAAGAAAACATCATCTTATATTCGGGTCAATACGGTAATGAGTTTCTGTTTTTATAACATAGCTATGCCTATGATATAGGACTATAGCCTATCACACAAACAAGAGTCCTGTTTTTTTTTCTCTAATATCTGCACGATCGCAAATGTACAATAAACAACAACTTACAGAGTAACTTTCAGACACAAAATTCCGTTTTGCTCCGTCAGAAAGAAAATAGAACAAACAGCAGAACCGCTGCGTCTCTGAACAACAGTGTTTTGTTCCTTAGTGTTACACAGACCAGCAAATGATTCAATCAGGCTATAAGTTCAGTTGTTTGCAAAGTTAAATGAATCGGCTTTTTAAACGAATTGGTTGATTGAACTCACTCATTAAGACAGTCACTTGCTCATTAAGACAGTCACTTGCTGCCACCTACTGGCGGTTGAAGTTTCATATTTGAAGCTTATTACATTTTTGCAATCATTTAATATTTCTACATTAAAATGTTATATTTAAACTTAACATTATGCACAATCCATCTATGAATTTTGTTGATAGTGATTTCTTTTTATTCGATTGAATTTATTGATTAAATAAGGACCTCACAAAAAAAAGTGAAGTGACATGTGGCGACCCATACTTGGAATTAGTGCTCTGCATTTAACCCATCCAAAGTGTGCACACACACAGCAGTGAACACACACCCGGAGCAGTGGGCAGCCATTTTTGCTGCGGCGCCTGGGGAGCAGTTGGGGGTTCGGTGCCTTGCTCAAGGGCACCTCAGTCGTGGTATTGAAGGTGGGAGAGAGCGTTGTACATTCACTCCCCCCACCTACAATCCCTGCCGGTACGAGACTCGAACCCACAACCTTTGGGCTACGAGTCCGACTCTCTAACCATTAGGCCACGACTTCCCGGACACACAAGAGGACACAGATATGACAATAACTTTTATAATACTAATAAGCCAACATCTCTGGCTTTTTTTGTTGTTGCTCAAAGTTATTTCAGGGTTTTGATCTGTCAACTGAGAGAACACATCCTGTTTATTATATTATAATTAATATTTAATATTACATTTAAACTTTGACTATAGCCTAGACATGTTGCATATTAATTGTACTATTTATGAACCTCAAAGCATATGTTTGTGTATTTTGTTTTACTCCATAATGATGTTCTATTTGAGGGCATTTGTAGTGTACATATAGGGCCCAAACATAACCTCAAGCCCAGGGGCCCCCGCCCCCCTAAGTCCTGCCCTTGTCACAAGTCCTCCAGACCTGTTTAGTTTATCTCTGAATATGAGCATGCAAGTTTTTTGTCCAAAGTCGCTAGGTATTGTAACTCAGTGTTTCCCAACCGGGGTGCCGCGGCACCCTGGGGTGCCGTCTGTCGAGAGCAGGGGTGCCGTGTAAAAAATCCTTTTTTAATTTTTTTAAAAATATTTTTAAAATGCTAAAATGTTCAAAAAAGCATCTATTATATAATATCCATTTCTGATGTCGCCAATAATTAGAGATGCACCAAAATTTCGGCTGCCGAAAATTAGTTCACCGCTCAGGTTTCACTTTCACGTGGTGTGACGCTCTGCGTATTATCCGTTATCCCGCTCTATGCATGTGCGCTCCGCTCAGTCGCTCCACTCGTATACCGTTCATGCGAATCGGAACAGCAAAGTCCACTCAAAAATTGAGCCGACAGGAAACATTGATGTAGTACAGTATTGTTTCTGTCTGCCCTACTGTGTTGTAACATGGTGTGGTATATGGGCA